AAAAAAAAAAAAAAAAAAAAAAAAAACCAAAACATAAAACAGAAGCAATATTGTAACAACTTCAATCAAGACATTAAAAATGGTCCACATCAAAAAACTAAATAAATAAAATAACCTAGTTTCCACCTTTAGAAATGTGAATTCTAAAATTATGCTAAATCTGATCCTTTAAATGCCATTTATATCAATCTGAATTTTGCAATTTTTAGCATCTTACTTACTTGGTACATTCTTCTAAAGACTGTACAAGCATTTGCTGGAAAGAACATATTTCTTCTAGATTTCCCATTAAATATGAAGTGTTTGCTGAACTTAACCTAGAGCCGAGAAAACAACAGGAGAAATAAGTGAGCAGTTTTACTTACATTCCTCTCCTCTCCCAGCCCAGCACCCTATTAAAAGTCTAATAAACAAAGTGCTCATGTCTGTAGGAAACTGCTGCTCATTCTGTTCCAGTAGCTCAGCCTCTGTTCTCTGAAAATACAAAGGAACAGCCAAGGTGACGACTCTTTCACGCTTGGCACAATTATCTAACTTACTTCTCAGTGGTCTGCAGTGGCCGTAGATAGGTTGAAAGCACAGTCTGAAGTTCTTTAGAATATTCATTTTCTGTTTCCAAAATATTCTGTAGCACCTACAACAAATGATGAATAAATATTATTTGACATTAAGATGTATAAGCATTGGCAAGTTCATCACCATTGTTCAATTCACATTGTTGCTTCTATGTAATACTAACTTGTTTAATATCATCAGTCACTCCCTGTGATTAACTACTAAATCCATGTAATGAACTGTTACCAAGGCTACACAACTGACTTCATCTCACCGCCAAGCACATCTGACACAGGTATACCTAGAATGAGGCCAGAATGAATTCATCATCAGATAAGTAATGCCGAGTCCGTTTAGAAAGAAAGAAGGACCCACTGATACTCGCAACAGCGTGGATGCGTGGATGACTCTCTACAACACTGTGTTGTGCAAAAGAAGCCATTCACAACAAGGACATTCCGCACAGTCTATCTACGGTAAGTCCAAGCACAGGCAAAACTAACCTATGATGGCAGAAATCAAAAGTCGGGGGTGGGAGGAGGTGACAAAGCGGAAAGGGGCATGAGATAAATTTCTGGAGTAATGGACAAGTTCTACATCATGGTTTGGGTAGCTGTGACACAGATACATATACCTATCAAAGCTCACTGACCTGTATTCTTAAAATCTATGCATTTTGACATATGGAAAGTCTATCAACTAAAAATAACATGAAGTTTACCCTTTATACGGTGTCTAGTAAATCTCAGTCCATTTCTGGGAACCTCAGACTTTCATTAGAGAAGATGATCAACTCAGATCATCCTATAAACATTAAAAATTAAAGGTCTACCAGTGTAAAGCAACCTTTATATAGCCACTATTGTATTTAAAGATAGGAGGATAATTATAAATCAACCTTAACATAAAAATGTTTCCTGATACCCTACAGCAAATATAGCCAAAATCAGTTAACAACTCTTAAAAACATAAACACAAGTACAAAACAGCTGAACTAAAACACGTGCCCCTTTCCATCAGCAATCGCCGAGAGCAACTCTCCTCCCTGGGCTGGGCAGGGCGGGACGGCTCCGGGTCTGCAGGTGGAGCCTGATGGAGCCCAGGTGCAAAGGTGGCCTTCTACTAACTCCTGATGCACGCTACACTCTGGGCACGAAGGTGCCCTACCCATAGTATCTCCAATCCTCGCAAAAACCTTCCTTTTACAGAGGGAAAGAGTAAAAGCAGAGAGAGGTTAAGTAACTTATCCAGAGCCAGGATGTGAGCCTTCAGCTGACCCTGCACTGCCCCATGCTGCCTTCTCCAGCCACAGGCTAAGGGCTGCAGTGGAAGCAAGTAAGATCCCTTCCTCAGCTATGGTTTCCATCCCGCTCTGCTAGAGAGCCAGCATCTTCCTCAGTCAGAAAATCATACTATGTATACTTTCTGAGGATCTACTGCATGCGCTAAAATGTGCTGTCCGTCTTCCAAAACTGACACATCAGCCTAAATTAATCCTGCAAAAGAAATCATACAGAATAAAGGTATCAAACACGCTCGGTTTTCTCCCACGATTTCTGATAATCAAAATGCATGTCTAAACATTAAAGGAAAAAGTAATCATTAAGCGAGATTTAGATTTCAACACTAATACAAGCAACACGGATTATTATTCTGCTCACTGCTGTCTTCTGCATTCTCGAGGAGAGCACAGTCATTCATGAGTAAATGCAACCCTGATTAGATAACTCGCATACTACACTATGGAAGATGAAGAGAATCAGGCTCTTTCACTGACTCTCAGCTCTGGTTTCGCCCCTGAATGGACCTATTCACAGATGCCTGGTGGAGCGGGCGGAGGAGGAGGGGTTTCTCCAGGAGACCCTCCCTTTGCGGGGAAACGTGGGTGCTGATCTTACAGTTACAACGCCTCCCCTCAAAGAACTACTCAGTGGACCCAAGGGTCCAAAGACTGGAGAACAGAGAGAACAGTGTGGCCCTGCCACTGCATGCCCACAGCATACACTTTAATCCACGCTGTATCCTGCAAAATGACGTGAAGCAAACAAGCAGAGCGTAATGAGCTGAAACAGCGAAAGTTCAATCTGTCACAGGTGCGCGAGACAAAAAGCCCTTTCTGGATGTGAAAGTGAACACGAAACTATGATTTCACGTCTCAGTTACAACTGTTAGGAACTGTTAGCAGCACTGCTTAGGACGTGCTCGGAAACCTCTACACCTGTCTTCTAAAACAGAAAAACAGCTCCTGTGCGAGGGAAGAGGAGAATCCCTGCGTGGCAACATCAGGCGCACGGGCACGAGGAGAAGAAGAAAACGGCATTTCTTCCATCGCAGCATGAAGCAGAGCAAGCAGATACAAAAGCTTCCCAGAGAATGTACCAGAAGCAATGCCAAAGAAAAGACTGCAGCGACTGTGACAGTTAAGTTGGTAAATTTCAACTACTAGTTGTAAACATGATCTCCAAATAAGTGCTCAAGTCAAGCTCTATAGTAATCCCACCCAAACCATCCAAGTTACACTTAGCTTCTCACAAACACACGACCAAGACTTGCTAAGTGAGGCATGCCGGCGCCGACCGTCCACGCGGCCAGGAGGCCACACGTCCCTCCCTGAGGTCAGCGGCACGCCTGTGTGCTCCGGCCATCACCTGTCTCCCCCTTCTTGACTTCTGCACACTCTGGCTGCTGCAGGACCCCATGAGACCTCACAGCCCGGCTGCCACAGCTCCATCACACAAAGGCTGGTCCAGAGAACGCGAGCAGCTTTCACAGGAAGAGCAGCCTTTACTCGGCACCGTGAGGAACAGCCGGGCTGAGCCCAGCCGACACAAGCTCTCCCCGAGGCGGGAGGCGTGGAGAGCCCAGTCGGGTCAAACAATGGTGCCACACAGGAGGACGACATTGGGCAAGCCACACAGACAATCCCTGAACTGTCGGCCGTTACAGCAAAGCAAAACAAAGGACCAACTCATTACCCTGCAGACCACAGAAACTCACTTCATTATTGCCGGCGAAGGAGCGTAGAGCAGCGCCCATTTTACAAATGAGTCACAACTTCCACTGCAAATTTTGGTAGCTGCCGTATGTTCTATTTTATGTGTCATTGATAGTCCTTTAAAAATAAATAACTGGGCTTCCCTGGTGGCGCAGTGGTTGAGAGTCCGCCTGCCGATGCAGGGGACACGGGTTCGTGCCCCGGTCCGGGAAGATCCCACATGCCGCGGAGCGGCTGGGCCCGTGAGCCATGGCCGCTGAGCCTGCGCGTCTGGAGCCTGTGCTTCGCAACAGGAGAGGCCACAGCGGTGAGAGGCCCACGTACCGCAAAAAATAAATAAATAAATAAATAAATAACTGATTTCCGTGTAAGAGAAATAAACAGTAACATTAAGTCATCTGATCCAGATACAATAAAAGATTATCATCGCAAACCAAAACCCAATTTCAAAACCATGAGCCTGGTTCAGAAACACAGTAGGAAACACTCAAGAATGGCACAGCTATTCTTACCCCTCTCCCACCCACCGAACTAGCCCCATGAACCACAAGGAAAAATAACCATCGCACGTTTCCTTTCAGCCTGGTCTATTTAAACTGTATTTTAGGGGTTAAAGTTTCAAAAAGTAAGAGAGGACTCCAGCGGCTCATAGCTACCCGCCCCGAGGGAAAGGAGAGGAAGGAAGGCCAGGCAGGGCAGGAAGCTGTGCCTGCAGCCCTGCCCGCCCGCAGAGCCAGAGGCATGAGGACAGGGCTGCAGCCCACTCCCCACCCCCACTGGCAGCCACTGATGTAACGCAGCGTGCTGATTTCTGCGTGCTCTTAGCACTTCACGACATTAACTCGCAGAAAGAGTCTGGGGGGTGGGGCACGCAAAATGTGTATGTTACTGTGCCTTTTAGAAGGAGTTACGTTATTTCAGTATTTCTAAACTTGGGAATTCATGAGGTCTTGGGATGTATTTCTTCCGAATGCTGAAGGTTTACTACGCAAGAGCTCCAGCAGAAGCTGCAGGGCCGCTCTGGTCTGTGCCGGCCAGGGGCTGGCCCTGGGAGCCGGCAGACCCGGGCGTGAGTCCCAGCTCTGCCATGTCTTCACCAAAGGGCTCTTACTGGTCTGTGACAGATACTCAGAGTCCACTCCCTGACTTCAGGTGGGAGGCATCTTACAAACCTCCTCGGACTCTGCCTTCCAGCCCAAACCCGCGAAAGTCCTACTTGGAGCTCCGTCACGTGACTCCATTCTTCAGGACGTGACTAGTTCACAAGACGGCCTTTCCCACGACTGAACAGCTCAACTCTTTCTTCATTCACAGGCCAAGCCTCAGCTGCTACTCTACCCAGCTCCTGCTACCAGCGGGAAATCTCCATCTATATAAAACAAGGAAATTACATAAAAACAGTGGGAGCAGAATTTGTCACAGACGCCAGCAGGCCCCTCGCCATCGGTATGAATGTGGGTGGGATACAGGAGAGGAGGGCGCAGCTCCTCAGAGAGCGCAGGGAGCTGAGCTGCCCTGTCCCGGGTGAGAGCCATAATGGGCCTGAGCCTCGTACAGGCCCCGGGCGGAGACACCAGACGTCAGGACTGAGAAGCAGTCTTGGCTAAGGTGGGCGAGGTAAAGGGACCATAAAGGATAAAAGAAGCCAAAGCAGTGCTTGAGGTCAGTGTGGCTCTAGGCCAACCTCCGGCCACCAGGCAGAGGCTCCAGGCAACTCCAGGAGCCAAGGGGACGGACGGCCACAGATTCGCTCTGGAGCACCTGAAAGGTCCGTGGAGGTTTCCTACAGCATTTTATGCAAGATGCACGTCTATTCTGAACATTTATTAAAACCATTGATTGCTACCTATTATACTTGCAATCTTTCAAAGACAAAGCTACCTTGCCTTTTCATTGTACTCCGGGGAGTAGAAGCAAACCATGCCTCATTTGCTGTCCACAGATAAGGAGCACTGATGTAACCCTGGAAAATAAAGCCCCAGTGCATCACAGGACACGGAAGGCCATAAGGACCCATATCTTCCCAGATGGACATATTTAAGAAACCTCGTTCTCTACCGGTGACATCCCCTAAAAGGGGTGTCAAAAGACCGTTCACTCCCTCTGGGGGTGGCATCTAGCTTCTAGAAGAGAAGGACTTTCTCTGATCTCCACCAGGAAAGGCGTCTGCTACCAGGCCGTAGGTGCAGTCAACTCCTTTCACTGTCAAACCCATCAAGCTCGGGCAGGTGACAAACATGTTCCCTTTCACTGTATGATCCTGTCGCCCTTGACTCCAGCCCTCCCAGGTAATTAATCCTCAAATGGGATGCTTGTTGGCAAATGGGCCTGATGCCCCCAGTGCTTCTAAACGCTCTTCCTAACAACCGTGAAAACCTCTTAAGGGTCAGCATTTCACCAGGCACCTTAAGGCCCACTGCTAATCCTCGCAACAACACTACAAGGCCAAGGCCAGCATTTCCAACGTCCTTTTACAAACACATGACTGCGTGAGCAGCTGGGGGGCTTCTGCCAGGCCAGCCCCCCAAGAGGACGCCCAAACACTACACACAAAGCCGGAGCACCCCTCCCCCCAGAACCTAAACAAGGGCTCTCCGGACCATTCACTGACCTAAGCCTGAAGACAGACTGACCTCAAACACCTTCACATTAGAAAACAAAGTTAACAGTGCTGGCTGGCTTTGTCACAAAAACTAATCAACTCTTTACTTAAAGCAAAGCTATGGGTTTTTTCTTCCATCATGACTCTCTGTGTCTGAGGCCCGGACTCCCCCACCTGAGGTCTCTAATGCCCTGCTGACATTTCCAGCACAGTCTGGGCTCTGGTGCCAAAGTAATCCTCCAAACACCTCTATTACTTGCATCATCAAGTAATGGGACTCTGCCACACTGTCTGGCACACTTCCTTCTACTTGCAGGGACAACGTTTTTACATAATTACATCACATTATCTAGGTAATTTTATGTTCTGCTTACTGCACCTAAAATGAATATTTGACATTTTTTAAAGCTTCATGTGCATTTTTAAGAATTATAAATGGATGTACTGCTGGTGTCTTAACCATTCTTGTACTGCTACATATTTAGGTTGCTTGCAACTTATTGTTGTAACAAAGCACCCTATGAAAACACCCTTGAACAAGCATCTCTGAATACCTTTCAGGTGATTTTTCTGGGGTGGATTTCAAGAAGCAGAATTACCACATTAAAGGGCTTGAGTGTTTTTAGAATTCCATGAACAGCTGCCATATTACTTTTGAGAACAGTTCCTGGTTCTGCACGTGAGGAACGTGGAAGTCGTCACTCCACCCTAACAACAAGTAAAAAGCTGAACAGACTGAAAATCGACAACTCTTCTCGAGTCCATAAGGGGAGGGGACACAAGGCTACTGCCCCCAAGATGTCGCACTGCCTGGAGCAGAGACGCTGGGGTGGGAAGACCTGGGCTGTAGTTGATGACGTGCTAGAGGCTCAGTGCAGACCAGCCTGAGCTATAAACCCTGGGGGGACACAGTCACGGGGGACCCGTACCCCCAGTATCAGGAAATTTACCTCTAGGAGCTCAACCAGGTACCCAAAATAAATATCAGAGAAAAGTCGACAATCTGGATGATTCCAACTCTAAGGCAGTAAGAAGATTAGTGGTTGCCAGGGGTAGGGGTTAGGGTGGGGAGGAAAGAAGCCACAAAGCACAGAGGATTTTTAGGGCAGTGACATACTTGACATTGTAATGATGAATACACGCGTGTACAGAGAGTGAACGTTAAAGTAAACTGGGGAGTCTGGATGAGTGTGTGTGTCAGTGCAGGTCCATCCTCGGTGAACAATGTCCCATCTGGTGAGTGATGCTGGTAATGAGGCGTGTGTGTGTGTGTGTGTGTGTGTGTGTGGCGGGGTGGGAGGAAGAGGGTACGTGGGTAGTCTAGCTCCCTCTCAAGTCTACCGTCAATTTAAAACTGCCCTAAAATAATAAAAGTCCTGTTTAACAAAGTGTCCAAAGAACTAAAGAAAACTATGCTTAAAGAATTTTTTAAAGTATAAGAACAATGACTCAAATACAGTCTGTACTGAACTATAAAAATAATCAAATGGAAATTACGAATTGAAAGGTAGGCGCTCAAGATCAGATTTGAGCTAGCAAAAGCAATAATTAGCCAACACAAAAAACTCCCTAGAACAGAAGGGAAGAATGAAGAAAAATGAACAGCACCTCAGAGACCTGCAGAAGGCCAGCATGTCTGCCAACAGTGCACGGGGCGGGGGGCGTGGTCCCGGAAGGGGAGGAGAGGTGACGAACGGCCATAAGTCACTAGGAGCCACTTCCTGCTCCCCAATCTTGACCATCACATGATGGCGGAGCTTCCTCACGGCCTCTTGACCTCCACGTGTTTGGGCCTCCACCTAGAATGCTCTCCCGTGCTCCCCACTGACCCCAAGTGGAGACCTAAATCTTTCACAGATCATCAGCCCACACTGGTCTCACCTCCTAGAAAGTGTTCTTATCTCTCAGTGGGGTTAAAGATATCTGTACTTCTGCAGTTTTCTGTGAAAACAAAACTACACAAGGAAGTGCGAAAAGTTTAACACATTATCTATTCTATTTGTTCTGTGTGTCATACTGTGCCCCACATTTTACTTTTCTGTATAATTTATAAATATGGAATTCAGGAAAGCTGAAACTGACTCCTGGCTTCGTCACTAACCAGTTCTGTTCACTGCAAAGTGACAGTGCTATATGCCGAAAGATGGTTCCCACGAGCTCTATACGTCGAAGTCCGTCACGACGGCAATTTTAACATGCACTGTTCACTCATAGAGCTTTATGTAAACAACCGTTTGGATGTGATTCTGAAGCCAAGGCGTTTCCCCATCATCCAGAATGAAAGAGTTGGCTGACTCCAAGACAACAGCACATGTGACACAAAGGCTCTTCTCCCTGTGTAAGCGCAGTTAAAGAAGGAAATCTAAAGCAGCACTGGTTACGTTTCAGTCCAGAGAGGACTGCACGACACACAGTGCCGAAGAAAACAACCCACCAGGGTTTCCAGGAAAGCACGGCTACCTACTTTTACAAAACACCCAGTGGAAGCAGGGTCCCCGGAGGCCAGCGCAGTGCTGCCGGCACCAGCTCACACGGCACCGGCTGCTTTCCTCTGATACAGTTATCTGGACGCACACCACTGAAGAGGAGGCTCTCCCGCTGTGGCACGTCACTGTGGATGAGGAGTGCGCTGCTCGCTGCAGCCTCCCCCGGAAAAGAAAGCAACGCCTCACCTGAGAACGTGCACGAAGAAAAGGCAGCTCCGTAAGCTGAAAGTTTTCCCCCTAACAAACGCTGAAGCGGCACAGGACCCCACACATAACACATTCCACGCACTGAAGAGCAAACATGTGGGCAGAGCCACGTCCCAGGAACAAACCCCGAAGAGACAAAGATTCGAAGGAGGAGGGTTTGGAGAGCAGAGCTCGGCCAGGAAAGGCAGGCGCCCTGAGCCCTCGGGACGCAGGTGTGCTCTGCCAGCGGGGGTCGGAGTCCAGATGAGGCCAGTGAAGAGCGCTAACGAGAACGGGGACAGACCAGCGAGACGGTGGAGAGATTCAAGGGAAGGAGGTGACCAACACGAGGAGAGGGGAGGCCACGGGCCACCAGGGGTGCGCTCAGCGGCCTGGCGCACGGAGACCGGACAGCAGAAGAGGTACAGAAGTGAAGTCCTGCAAAGAGGAGGCCACGGATCGGGGGCAGGTGGTGAGAGGAAACACCGACGGGGAGAGGTTCCTGCCGTTCTCTTCACCGCTGCGTAAGCAACGCCTTTAGCAGGGCCTGGCAGAGCGAGCCCCTGACAAATCCTTAAGAAATGAACGAGGGCCCCCAAGGCCAACTTGCGCTGCAAGATTTGGGGGCAAATGCGTAGAAGAGAGCTGAGCGCGCAGTCCCAGGTCACTGGTTCAGGTCTGCACGACTCTGCACCATCTCTTCATAAAAGCACCGGAGACGCAACGCTCGTGATGAAAGGGCTGCTGCCAGGAAAGGCTCAGCAGGCGCTACTTTACTCCAGATCCTCAAAGGTCTCGTGGTGCAGATTTACATCTCCAATCGAGAAAGTAAAGAAGACTGGGAGTGGGGAAGAAATAACTAAGTAAGTGTACGCTTCCCACAGAATTCAAAACATAGCTGTGTTTAGAAAGTTCACCCTGCTGGCTTATCACACCAGGTAGATACACATCGGCAATGTAACATCTACCCAAATCTAGACTATCATTTCCCATTTCCAGCAGATGGAACGGTTCAGGAAAAAGGAGGTTTGGATTAGATATTAGATTTAATGCCACAGGTACTTTTTAAGCTCACAAACTGCTCAAGTTTCAAAATGCAGCAAATTTTAGGATTCTGAAACCCTTGCCTTCACTATGTACAATGTCTAGACACTCTCCTCGAATTTCATGCTATTTGATATATATACACATATCAATCCCAGAAAAGACTACGTTAACATACAAAATGAACTAGAAACTGTATTGATCTGGAAAACTGACCGTCTACTCCCAATGGAGTATATGGCCTCTGACGTATAATGGCCTCTGACGCACATAAAACCTGTAAATCACATTACGCACCTTTTAGAATCCCAGTGTTGAAGAGCTGTAACCGCATGGGGAAATAATCACAACACCCAGTTACGCAATAAGAACAGGGTACTATTCCACACATTCATACAAAACTATAAGAGTATTATAGAAATACGTAGAGGTCAGAAGGAAACAGAGCAGAATAGTAACGGTGGTTGTATCTGTGTGGCGGACGATACGTGATTTTTATATCCTTCCTCCCTCTCTAGGCAGTTTACCTACATTCTACACTGCTCAGTTTTAGAGACATTCAAAAAAACAAGTTATTCTTCAAAACTGTTTTGCGATTACTCACCACGTTGTAATAGCTTTTGTTAATGGCAGTTGTATCAAATCCTTTGGGAGGGCTCTTCAAGGCTCCAGATTTGGGTGACACGGGCTTTTCTGAAATAAAGACGTAGGGCAGGTTTACGGCTCCACCCTAGAGAGGACCACGCGCGGCAGCCCCGCACGACCCCAGCTTCTGGGCCCAAATGAGCCCCCAGTCCAACAGGCGGCGGGACAGAAGCCCATGCAGCCAGCAGGCCCCCAGCCCCATCTCCACCACACGGTCGGCTCCCTGAGCTCAGAGGCCCCCACAGCCGTGCCTCCAGCCCGTCCTCCCAGCCCAGGCTGAAAATCTGACAGATTATGCACCACTGCTGTCAACAAACAAAAAAGAACTAATCTATACGCTACACATGCAGCTCAGGCGTGCAGTACGGGTGAATTACTAGGCCCAGAGCATCAGAGACAACGTTGGCAGACACGTAACAATATTAACACATCAAGACCCACAGGCTGGACTGTATTTGGAGGGATCCAGGTCACTCAGGATGCAGAAGTCCCTCTAAACAAGGGCAACAGACAAGGAAGGAAAGCCACCCCACACAGGGCAACAAGGAAAAACCTCACTGCCTTCGGAGCCGCCACACCAGGGACGACAAGGAAAGCGGTCACGGCTACTGCAAGGATTCAAGCACTGAACATCACATGGCTTTCATCCAATTCAAGAGAGATTTATTCAGAATAGGTACTGAAGAAGCGCTTGCCAACTGATTCCTTGGCACTCTGTGTGTGTGTGTGTGTGTGTGTGTGTGTATGTGTGTGTGCCACTGAGGTTCTGTGGGGCGGGTGTGTCTGTCACTGAGGTTCCGCGGGGTGCGTCTATCACTGGTTCTCCAAGGCTACATCAGAGTGGGGCTGGTGGGGAGGAAAGGAGAAACTGTGATGAGCACGGCCTGGGGGCCTCGGTCTGTACAACCCCCTTCCTCCCTTGCCCCCTCTGCAGGGTCCTGCTGTACACATGGCTGCCGGGGCCCCTCCGGCGTGTTAGGTAGAAGGATGCTGAACACACCTGTCCAGAATCTCTCTCTTTAGGCAGCATTTCCCTCCCACCCCACACACTCCTGAGCTCCGGGTCCCTAATTCCAACTGCTCAATAGCTCCATTATCTTCTCAGCAACAGAAACCCCAAAAATGCCCAAAGCAAAACGTACTGTCTCTAGCTGTGGGTCCCCCTCCTCCTACGGAGCTGTTTACCTAACTCTTCTTTCAATGCCTCACTGTAAGGGCTTTCCAAACAGCTGAAAATAACGAGCAAAACAGAAGGTGTTATTCCTAGCTGAAAGAATTCTCTCTGCCCATGGGATGGAAGCAGAACTCCACAGAAAATAAACTACTTCTAAACCATGAGAAATACAAGGAGGAAAACCAATCTAGTCTAGCTAATACACTTTGCTTCCCAATCTTGTATCTGCAGCTAAGCATTTAACTGTGGAAGAAAAAACTACGACATTTCCATCCGAAGAAAAAAATGCCTTTTCATCTTTAAAATCTGCAGTTTGGGTGAAGCATATGCGACGACAGTAAAGGGAGGTGGCTGAAGCCTCAATTACCGCCCCGGGGACCATACACAGCACGTGGAGGAAGACACACAGCAACACGGGTGCAGCAAGGTTAATTCACGAGAATGACCTGAATCTGCTTTAGATTTTTTAAACGCAAATAACTTGCCAACTGCCTCATTCTACTTAAACTTAAGACATACCTCACAACATCACGGTTAACAAAATTCAGTCGATTTACTATGAGAACTACAAGGAAGAAGCTTTTTCAAAAGCAAGCTTCAATCTACTAATATTCTATAAAAATAAGGGACAGGCAGAAGAGACCCAGACAAATCAAGGTTTAAGTCCAAAGAGGCTGTCTTTTCGCCCTCAGAAAAAGGAAGCACACAGTGTGCTGGTCGCTAAACGGAGACTTCTGGGCTGGGAGGCGTCACGAACACACGCCCGAAGCCTTGGGTCCAGACGCTCAATGAGCTGTCACACGGAGGAGCCGCCAACACGCCCTCTGCAGAGGGTGCAACTGCCGCCGTGCCACCTGCGGGAGACCCGGGAGGGCAGCGCTGGCCGACGCTCCAGGCCCAGGCTCCAGGGACAGTCGTCCGTGGTGGCGGGGCGAGGAGAAGCGCAGGACCCCTGCGAGCCTCGGGTGGCCTCTAGCGCCTCCACCAGAGAAAACTTTGAAGTGTCAGTGCAACGTAACAGAGGCCAAGTCATGGGCACGCATGACAGAGGAAAATGCACAGGAAACATATTAGAAAATACTCAGCCTTCCCACTATCCTAAGAAAAACAAGACATTGTTCTGGCCCATCCAATGGCTGACTCAGATTGCACTCGCTGGGACGAGGTGGGGGAGCCAGGAAGACAGCACAGCGCCACCTTCCAGGGCCGACGGACGCAACACGTGCCCCCCTTTCTCGCAATAAATGTTCAAAAACGCCGATAACAACAGAAGCTAAACACAGATGTGCTAAACGAAGAGGGGGATGGGGACCACCCCCACCAGGTGCCCCAAGTAAAGGAGGCCGCAAAGCACCGGCAGTGGTGGGAGCTGCCCTGGGGCCGGGCTGCAACCAGTGCTGTTACGGGACTGCCCCGTCCCACCGGGTGGAGCTCTGGTGACCCGCACGGCTAATGAAAGAAAGCCTAGAGACTTCCGTCCGCCGGCCAGAGAAGCAGCTAGGAAGTGTGCTGGCCACTCAGGGATGGGGGACACAGCCTGTGAGAAACCAAACCAAGGCTGACCCCGCCAAGCGTGCAGTCCAAGGCCACACCATCTCCTGCAGGACCACCAGGATTTGCCAAGGGCAAGAAAGCTCTCGGGGCCCGGAGGAAGCCAATGTCAGCCGTCTCCGTAGGCACTTCTGCAACCCAGGGTGCAGAGGTACCCACTGAACAGCCATCCATCAAAGAGCAATCCATAAATAAAGCACAAGCTCACGAAGAATGAACCACCAAGGGAGTGTAAACAGAAAACATAGGAGGGGACCAGTCCCCGAGATGCAGAAATTAACAGGATAATCTAGGAGCCTGTACAGCAAATGTGCTTAAAATGCCTGGAAAGAAATCAGGACCATAATGAGTTAAAAGGCATCATGAAAATGAAGAGCATCCGGAAAAGAATGAAACAACTTCTAGAAATGAATACGATGGTCACTAAAACGAAAATCTTGGTGGACAGGTAAACAGGGCAGTGAGGAGGGAACGGGGAAGGGAAAGATCTGAGGAATGGACTCCAAGTGTGGTCCAGTGAAGCAAAGAAACGAAAGCATGAAAAGCGGATTAAAAGCCACGGAGGGTAAAAGCTAACCGGATGTTCAGGAGACAACAAAGCAAACGAGCAGGCAGCGTGACTTTCCAGAAACGGCAAGTTCTCGCGTCCTGGGCTAGGGCAGCACGGCAGCCCTACACAGTCACCCCTCCACCCCCGGGGGGCGGCCCTGCCGCTGGCGATGCTTCCAGAGGCAAAGGCAGTCACAGCCCGGCCACCTCAGGGCCCAGCTGTCGTGGGCTTTTCTTCCGCCTCTTTCTGGAAGGGTAAGGGCTCCCTCTCGTCACCCCTCATTTCCCTCTGCCTCTCCTGTCCGAAGGTTTCACAGCCCTGCTTTCTGCGCTGGTGGCGGCCCTCCCGCCAGGCTGTGTGCACTGACCCCTCGGAGCCCACGGGCGACGCTCAACCCTGAGGACAACTCCAACTCTGGCTCCCACTTCTGAGTCCCCACTGTTTGTCACCCGGCCTGGAAACCATTCTCCCATCCCCAGTCAGGCTCCCCAGGGGTTAAGCCCCACGGTCACTGGTTTCTGTGCTGTCAGTTTCCTCAACCCTGTACTCCTTCCTATTGGCTTTCAACTGCTGAGCATCTTCCTGGTTCACTTAGCGATAATCTGTCCTTGTGGACTCTCCTGAACCTCGGTCTGAGCCTCTGTTACAGAGATCTCCAAGTGTGCACAGGAGTGGGGAGAACCCCACACACGTGTGCCCCTGCTGAGCCTGCACAGGTGCCAGCCCCCGGTTGCTCTCATACCCCCTTTCCTCCTGGAAGCCTCACAGCAGAGCCCACCAACACTTCCGTGTCCACCCTACTCAGAGGGTTCTCCTCTTTAATTAAAATCCTAACATCAGGCACTTATCACACCTGACAAATTCCTAACAATTCCTTAATATTATCTGATGCAAGTCCATATTCAAACTTCCCGGTCGGTTACAACAAGGCTTTTGTAGTTGGCTTATCTGAATTAGGAACCAAATAAGATCTACACCGTGCATGGGGGCTGCTCTGCCCTAAGCCTTCTTTATCCTCTCAAAGCCCCTCCTCTCTTTACTTAACGCCAGCAGGGAGCACAGGGCACCGCCCCCTTCCCCATCACCCATGCTACCCAGTTTTCTATTCAGGGGACCTCAGGTAGGCTTCCTGATTTGTGGGTAGACATTCTGTTGTTTTTTCACTGTTGTTCCCCCAGTTCCCACAACAGTGGCCACTGAAGTAAATGTTTGTTGAATGGACGCTGGCTGTGATTTTAGACCCGAGTGCAATCGCTAAGAACCTTGGAGTATGAAAAGCAGAACGCAAAGGTGGAAAAAGGTCAAGGGTAAGTCCTCGTGTTACAAAGAGGGGCATCAAGAGATGACTGTCAATGTCCGTGGACATGAAATAAACGGTATTAGTTAGCATTCCTGATAAAGGGAACCGACAGGAGAGAGGGCAAGGGAGGACAAGTCAGAGAGAAAGTCTGCAGGACACAAATCAGGCAGAGAAGTCCCACCACACACAGAAGGGGCTGCGCGGAGAAGGCAGCTCATGGCAGGGGCCGGGGTCTCCCGGGGGCGAGGGCCAGGAGAGGGGGAGGGGGGAGCAAGCGACCTCTGCCCGTCACCCCATCGGCTTTTCTGTCCCACGTGCTCTGTTTTCACATGCCTGGATTACTTTTAACGTAATATTTCACAAATAAAACTTTTTTTGAAAAGAGCATCTCTATTACTGAAGACTATGGACCCTGACCCCAAACTGCTACAGGACAGTTGACCCATGGGCGTGTCCTTGAACCAGGGGGTGTT